CCCACCCACCCACCCACACACACATACACACACACATACATACATTTCTGGAAAGCTCATGCAGGCCCACGCAGCCTAGCTGTGTTGTGGTTCTTGCCACTCTTTGGTGTTTATCAGCTGCATAAACAAGTTCACATAAAATCTATAAAAAGATTTTCTAAAATTGTTCAGCAGATAATTTGCACACAATCAATGCAGCTCATCATCAAGAAGATTTGTGGCTCTGAAAAAAGATCAAACGAGCTCCTCTAAGTTAGCAAGCTGAATCCAAGAGATAGTTCCAATTTTTTTGAAGTGGAGTTATAAGACAAGGTTATGGCAAATTAAAACCCTGCCTGTTTTAGATAGTTGTTCTGAAACAGCAGCAACCCATTTTGGTACTGGTTCATTAATTTCAGTCAGAATTGAACTGTTTCTCCAAACTGAGATTTTTCCAAGAGCTAACAACAGACAAGATATTAATTATTCTTAACCAGTGTCCAGAGCACATAACCCCACTTCAAAATATCAGAATCATGATTTTAAATAGAATCAGATGGATTTACATCTAAAAGTAAAAAAAATGTTAACCAGGGAGTATGTGTTACATATATTTATATGAAATGAGAAATGTGTACTCTTCCTACAGGTATGAATGCAGCTGTGAGAGCGACAGTTCGAGTGGGATTGTACACAGGAGCCAAGGTGTACTTTGTTCATGAGGTAAAAACTGATTTTATTTTTTCGTGATTCAAAAACAAAATCTCAAATCACCCACATCCTGAATGAATGGGTGACTTCACACTATTTTTTACCTGCTTTTACTGTTTTTCATGTTTTTGACATGTACCGGTAACTACTTTTGCATACTTTGTGCAATTTTGGCTATTAATATATCACAATGTTCAGCTTAATCTGGAAATGGATGCCATCTTTGTTTATTTATGTTTTGTAACTTTCATAGCCTACATTTTATAATAGTAATATTTTTCTACAAATATTTTACAAAATTATATTTTACGTCTTTTTAGTTATTTTAAAAATGTTGTGGTCTTTTTTTTTTTCCTTTTATTATTTACTTTTCTATATTTGGTCTGTTTTTATATTTTTAAGCAACTTTTAGTTAATTCAGTCTTTTGCTACTTTTAGCAAACAACCATCTTTTTGCTTTGTTTTGCTTCTTGCTGCCATTTTGCTATAGCAACCATTCTGATACATTTAATTTGCCTTTTGGCACTTTTAATATTATATTAGCTTTTTGCTACTTTTAGGTTAGCAAACCTTGACTGCTTTTAGCTAGTCATTTGCACTTTTCAGCTTTTAGCTAGCACATTGCTACTTTTAGCTTTAAAATAGCCTTTTGCTATTCCAGCACTTCACTTATGTTTTCCTTCTTTCAGCTTCTTAAAATGCTATATGTTGTCATCATTGTATTTTCCCATCTAATGACGAAACTGGTTCTCTGCATTTAACACATCACACCTGGAATACAGCCAGGTGGAGCAGTGGGCACCTATTGAGCACCCACGGAGCAATTATGCTCAGAGACACCACACATGTGGGAATGCCTGGGAGTCGAGCCGCAACTTTCTGGTCCCAAGTCAGCTGTCTAACCTCTACCCCATCTTGGCCTCTTAGCAAAATTTACCATCATTTTACCATTTTTACCATGACATCCAGCACTCATTATTCCCACTGCATTTTCACAGAACATTTCTATTGTCAAAACAAATACCAAAAAAAAAAAAATCTAAGAAAATTGTGTATTTTATTTATTTATTCATTCATTCATTCATTTATTTAATCTAAACTGCTCCAAAATGAGAATTTATAACTTGAATGCTTTTGCTTCTTTTGCATGAAAAAATATGTAACAGTTAGTGCCAAGTTTTATTAAAAAGAAAAATATTTGTTGGACTGAAACAACTGTACCTGTCAGAGTAAATATATGCCTGCATCGTTAAGCCTTGACCTTCTTCCCAGCAATGACCTTTTTTTTTCTAGGAGGTGGGATTGAGTTTTGTTTTGTTGCATGTTAACAGGGTTACCAGGGTCTGGTGGACGGGGGAGATCATATCCGCCCTGCGACTTGGGAGAGTGTGTCGATGATGCTGCAGTTGGTAAGAACAAGACTATCTTTGACCTGCAATCACAGCGTAACGGTTTTGTGTTCAATGTAGCGCTGTAGGTCCGTTAAAGCCAAAGTTCATTTAATAACTCTTCATGGAGCTTGAACATGAGCGCTTCAAGTGAAAATTATCTCACTCTTGATTCCTTCCTGGCTTTCCTGTCATTCTTGTTTGACTGAAATCTTTCCTCCTTGCTTTAAACCAGGGTGGAACTGTGATTGGTAGTGCTCGCTGTCAGGATTTTCGCACCAAAGAGGGGCGCACCAAGGCTGCCTATAACTTGGTCAAGCTAGGCATCACCAACCTGTGTGTTATTGGAGGTGACGGCAGTCTCACTGGTGCCAACCAGTTCAGAACAGAGTGGAAAGACCTGTTGGCAGATCTGATTAAAGCTGGTGAGACTTGACCTAAAAAAAATCCAACACGATGTACATTCAAATGCAAAATGTCCTGCAGTCAAAATTATGGTGGTACATCTTTATTATTTGAATCTGTACTCAGGAAAAATCACATCAAATGAGGCCAAGAGTTCCTCCCACCTTAATATTGTTGGTATGGTGGGCTCCATTGACAATGACTTCTGTGGGACGGATATGACCATCGGCACTGACAGTGCTCTGCATCGCATCATAGAAATAGTGGACGCCATTACGACCACAGCACAAAGGTACACTGTAGACTTTTAGATGACTGAAGGTAGAAACAACAAGCATCAAATTTTAAGCCTTGATCAGATGTCTTTCCATTTACAGTCACCTAAAAATTTTTAGGTGACTGTAAATGGAA